AGATAAATCCCAATCATAAAGTTAAATTCAGATATACAATTTATTCAAATAAATGAACCCAGCAGCTTTACAAAACCACTAGGTTGTTTTAACCCAGATTTGGGTCAAATATGGATCAACCCAGGGCTGGACTGGGGCAAAAAATTGGCCCTGGCATTTTGGGCCAGAGCGGCCCACTGCATTCAATCAAAATGCTATCCATCTATGCACGTCCAATATTTTTATCAACTCCTATTTTATAAAACACAAAAGCCATATATATATATATACATATATATATATATATATATATATATATATATATATATATATATGAAATAAATTAATACAAACTTTAATCTCAATTTAATTTAATGTCCATAAAGACATTTGTTAAGTTCTAAAAAATACACTATTCATTCATTTATTTTTCTTTGCATTGGTTCCTTATTTATCAGGGGTTGCAGCAGTGGAATGAACTGCCAACTATTCCAGCATGTTTTATGCAGCAGATGCCTTTCCAGCCACAACCCAATATTGGAAATCACCCATACTCATTCACACACACACTCATACACTACAGCCAATTTAGCTTATTCAATACACTATTCACACCTATATTCAATAATAACCATAACAAAAACTGCCTGCTAATGCATGGGTAAATCCTCAAAGGGAACAGTGTACTTTATAACCTCATTCACCTCATCCTGCTTGCTGTTTCATTATCTAAACAATGAAAACATAATATAAGGAAATTTGTTTCATTTTGATATTGTGATTAACAGACACCAAACAGCCTCGTGTAGCTGCATATTTATACGAGCGTCATCTTCACTCTGCATACAGGGCTTAAATATAACTGATTTCTTTCATTTTCATAGAAAAGAACAAACTTTACCCTGTTTCTTTTGCAGAATATCAGTTTTAATAACCAATAATGGCCATTATAATAGTATAACATACAATAAATTTATACGATAAAGGTAATCAGTGTATGTTACATATATTAAAGGTAATCAGTGTATGTTACATATATTAAAGGTAATCAGTGTATGTTACATATATTAAAGGTAATCAGTATATGTTACATATATTAAAGGTAATCAGTGTATGTTACATATATTAAAGGTAATCAGTGTATGTTACGTATATTAAAGGTAATCAGTGTATGTTACATATATTAAAGGTAATCAGTGTATGTCACATATATTAAAGGT